CTTATTGATAGTGTGCACAAGAGTAAGTCCTTTTTTACCGTCTTCACTGTGTGTTCCAATGCACCCACCTAGTAGCGTATTCGTCAAATCTAGAGCCTTGCTTTGTATACTTTCCATGATAGTCCACCTCTTTATACACTTGTAAGTGGAGGAGTTTTTTTATGTTTCTATGACTCAAACATTGTTTGATGCCTTGTTTGCCTACTTGAATATGCAAGACGGGGCATTTGAATCCCGGGATGGGTCGTCGCCACTCGGACTTCTAAACTGGAATCGTTTTTTGTGTACCAATTAAGCAGAATTGAACAGTTTTTTATAAATATGTGACGTGGAGAAAACTCAAGCAACCTCAACTCTTGGCTTTTGCATTCGAAAATAGCCTAGCCCCACAAATTTATGGGCGTAAGAGGGTCACCTGTACAGACTATCTCGTTACCCAATAAAAAGAAAACGTTAGAGGTAAAGGAGAATTGGCAAGCACATCTGAAAATGACAGCTGAGAGTTGAGTCGTGAGGAGACACCCTATACTCATGCGCCAAAAATGCCTATAAACCGGCAATTGACTTCGGACTAGCATGACCGGACTGTAAGTCATATTCGATCACTTCCACAGTACTCCCCTTACTCTTTTCCCTGCCTTTGTGTCTGCCGCCTGTCTCACTGTGACTCACTTTTCTGTTCCCCCTCTCCACTTTTTGTGACTTTGATGTCCCTCCCCTCTGTGAAGCCCAGAGTCAACTAAAGGATTAATGTGACAACCATCCTATAAGTAAATTTCCCAAATCGAGCTACATGGGAGTCCTTGGTCATCAAGGAAATTATCATCAAAAATGTTTTGCCAATGAATATTTTATTTACTTCTCTGCGTCAACTTGTGAACAACGTTTCTTTGATATGACCCCTTGGGGAATACATTTTATTTGGCTTCTAAAATAGATGGAAGAATGTTCCAATTTAGTTGGGGTAGAGTTGATGCCTTGTTGGGAGGTGAGGGTTTACTGAAATTAATCGGTTAACACCCGGGGCCAGGAGAATGATCCTCTAACTACTCATGATTTTAGCGAATTCCAATTAGATGTGGGAGTTTTCATAGCCATTGTTTTAGATTTTGGATAGAAGAATGGCTTTTGTCTGCAGATGGAATGTGTAATGAAATTCCGAATTCTGAGGACTTTCATGATGGCTATTCATTTTTTAACGCTATTTTATGCCCTTATACTGTTGTATACTGTGTATGTTTTGTTGTATTTTTTTCGGTGTGGATAGATTTGAAACCTTATGGGTGCGATGTTTGTGGAAGGAGTTTTCACCGACAACACCTTCTTCTTCAACACATATCCGGCGTTCATAATGGTGAGTCTCCTCTACTCCTCCACTATTATGTTCCGGAATTTATTCGCTCTCATATTTGGGTGTCGCGCTTTAAATTTCAGGTGAAAGACCTTATAGTTGCAATTTTTGCGGCACGACCTTCAAGTACCACACCGGTGCAAAGAGACACATGACGAGATTGCATAAAGGTGTGTGTGTGTGTGTGTTGTCATCTCGACTTCCCATCTGCTAACCATTTGCTATTTCCTTTCAGATCGAGTTGCAGAAGAAGTAAAAAACGATATTAATCCTGTTTTGAACCTACCGAGCGCCGAGACAAGACCTGAGCTGAATTAGAATCGAGTATCGATTATGTGTTTTTAAATTTATACAAGAACTAAAAACTGGGATTTCGTTGACGCAAACCACAAGAAGGCTAATTGTTTCTGTACCACCCTCTTAGCTGCCAACACGCGAAATTTTCTAAAGCGTTAGACTCATGGATGAACAATAAAACGCATTTTTACGCCTGAAAACTTCCAACTGTGATCCAGTTCTTGGAGTTCAATTTGATATGTACTCTCAGATATGGTTAGGGGTATGGGCATGTCCGAGTGGACTCTACTGGGCACTCTGGATGAACTGTTTCTTGAAGGTTGTACTTTCAGCTGGGGTATCTGGTTTAACTCCCCAAACTCTCTTCATCAGGCCATATTCGTATAGAGCACTTTCGTCCTTGAAACTAACCAAAAATTCGCAAATTCCCCTATAGAATATCTAAGTGAATGCACCGTTCAAAAGTAGAATGGATCTTTTAAGTAAATATTGCCTTAATTTCAAATTTTTTTATAATTACATGTAATGGAACTTTAGGTGAAAAGTTATTGTTTTTAATTGAGCAGGTAATTATGTTCAAGTGAAATATATTGGTTTTTGTCTGTCTATTAGTCGCAAGCATAAATTTGAACTAGTTAAGAGAAAGCCACTTAATTGAACTTATAAGAGAGCTTTATTGTGTGATTTCAGGTACGTTAATATTTCTACCGTATAGTGCTGTGAGGTGCTTTACATCAAGAATTCGACTATTTGTATTATCCCGTTGTTAGAAACTCAAGTTAATAACTGCGGTGTTTGATCGCATCACTTCTTTTATGCGTGTTTGAAGCGGTGATTGGAGTAAAATGGACTATGTAGAATTGACCGCTACCCAATTCAAATGTTTATGTTCCAAACTAATTAAGTCTAGAAGCACCAAAGCCATAATCATCTTTCGCTCATCGTCGATCCAGAAAAAAATGGTTCATCTATTCCAAAGATTTAAGGGAATTATATGTACCTTTCTGCTTTTTTAAGCTTCGACTTTCTGAACCTAGCAATCTTATGGAAAGTTTGTCGCTGTGTCAAAGGGGAAATTGATGGAAGATGTGAGCAGAAGTTGTCACAAGTTGAATTTCAATGGAACTATTCATCGACAAAGTTTTTGCAAATTTTGTCCTCATTGCTATATATTGTTTTAAATTGCCTCTTATCGACGTGTGGAGTGCTTCCACGCTGTGATGGCTGAAAGAGGCAATCTCATGTGCACTCAGACAGACTCGAAGGTGCGGCCGTGCTACTTGCCACATAGGGAGCAAGTACGTCGTGAACGCAGAGACATCTCAGCCAGCCGCCAATCAAAAGCCTCTGCATGGTTTACCAAACCCATCATGGTATTTCAATGGCAACTTTGTGAAAAACAGCGCAAATAAACGTATTTACGCCATACTTCTGTTTGCTTCTATTGCTTAAGCGGTAGCTGGTAGCGGTCTCTGGTATTTTGTTTGAGGTCATAGTTCAATTTTACCATGGCTAGTCTTGATAATATTGATAGGGGCAAATGGGGTGAGCTAGTTCAGACCTGTAGGTAGCAGCCTTATTTGTGTTTAATTAATTGGCATTGTTTGCTACGATACTGTTTGAAGGGTTTTGGCTTAGAAATTTGCCAACCTCAATAGGTTTCAGAAGGTGAAGACGTCTTCGGGGAACAGCGTCACTAATCGTCAAGACTGACACATCGATGTAGGTATTTTGCCCGCCAGACGCTTGGGTTTTGCACATGAATCAATAAAAGCGGATTTTTTTCATAAGAATTACTATCTTACCTCCTTCCCTGATCGATTCCTGCTGCACTAAGATTTTGTTTTCCTACACATCTTTAACACGCGAACATTGAATGATAAATAAAGCTCTATTTTAAGTCTAGAGACGAAAACAGGAGGACTGAACTGACAAAGGCAAACTTACTACAATAAAAGAATATTACGCCTCTAAGGCCAATTGTGTCCATAATAGACTCGGACACAATTTTGAAGCTGTTTTAGCGGATTGCTGCCCTAATGTGGCTTGATCTAAGCTTAATAATTTCTATGACAAGATCATCTGGTTTGGAAAGGCTTCCGGGGTTAGATAAGTTACCGCAGGGCTATAGAGAAAGCAGACGTTTGTCGTACAATACGTTTATTCGGGTGATGTTATGTTGGGCGCGCATATCGATCGTGTCCGTTGGATTAGGTGTGGAGGGTGTAGTAATGCCCATATTGAGTGGCAGGGAGTTTGGTTAGTATAGTCTCTTTCGGGTAGGAGAATAGCGCAATGGCTTTGGTGATTGATTGGCCGAGAGCTCACTGCACTCGTGACCTCATTTGCTATCTGTAGTGATTTGAATATTTGCACTCAAAAACGCTCCTTCGGTTCAGCCATGCGAACGTTGTGTTCCACACAAGTTAAGGCGGGATTTATATGGAGAGAACTTCTGACCGAAAAGATCTACTTTTGCCATTACTGTTCCGAATTTTCTTAGCTCAAAATTCCTAGGTTATGACAAATATTAGATAATATTTATATTCAACAGGACTCAGTTCAGAAACGAAATCCTGTTTTCTCTTCACATTTGGTAAAATTCGATATACAACATATTTGGGCTAACGGAACCCCGCTTCAAAGGATTTTGATAATTCCTGATCAAAATCGAATTCAAGAGATGAGGAGAGGTGAATGAAACCACCTAAATGAGTTTATATTTACAAATAGTATTTGACGATGGGAAAAGACATCAATAGATGAAGTAGATGAAAAGAAATGGGAAATTAGTTTGTAATAATTTAGCATAGGACATAATTAAGCCATTTCCTAAGTTTGAACCTTGAGTTAAAATAGAGTCAAGTGTTACTGAGTACATTACATTATCTATAAGAAATTTATCTTCAGTCATCACCTTCATTAAATGCTGATCGTAAACAGCCTAAATTAATCGAGGTCATTCTTGATTATTAGCTTCTTTTTACCAGTCAATGTCAGAATTTATTTTCTTGTATAATGAATTAACAACTTTTGACGAGCATATTGCAGTACTTTAAATTTTCATGTCTATCTAGTACATAAATTCATATTTTAAGATGAACTAGATAATGAATAATTAGCATATAACAAGATACATTCCTAACATTTAAAAACCGTCTATTATTTTAAATTCGATTTCCACTTACATAACACTTTTTTGAAATGATTAATTAATTTCATTTAACAGTTCTTAACATGCAAATAACCTTGACTTTAATGCGGATGATGCACTGTCTAAGAACGAATTAAAATCAAGATTTGCATTTGCATATATACCTCTTGGTTGTGTGGTTGTGCGCCATTTTCGATGATGGTCTTAGATGTAAGCTTTTTAATTTTCTCTATAATGAGCAAAATGAACAGATAGACAGTGCGGATGCAAATTTTCTTTGCCTCAGTTTTTTATTGAAGCTTTAATTTGAATAAATGGAAGTGCTTTGCTTAGGATTGCATTTATTATATTTCTTTTCTTATAATGGGATGAAATGTTGTATTTATTAACCTCGATTATTAATAACTCACATTAATAATTTATTTGATGTACCTCTTTGTCTGTGGCTATTCGATTGATGGATTCAAGATATTTCTTCAAATAGTTTGCCTGAAACTAGATATGCTCGTTTTGCTTTTGTATACAGCTTTCCTTAAGTAGATTGTTCAGATTTTAATCCTGTCTAATTCATAACGACTTCTAACCACTTTGCAGGCAACTGCGGCTTGTCTATCAGCACACCCAATGGTTATGAAAATTCTCGGCGCAGACCATGATTCCGCTCACTCTCAGAACCGATCGATAACTCAGGCTCATAGTGGTACCTCCGTTACTTCCACATCAAATACCGTGACTTCATCTTCAGACGCCTGTATGAACATTGTTCATAGTCTTATGTGCCATCGTAAAAATGGTGAATCAGAAGAGTTTTCCAAATTCGCTATCGAAAGTCTAATAAAGAAACTCAAGGATCGTAGAGAGGAGTTGGACTCTCTTATCGTTGCAGTGACTAGTAATGGGGCTACTCAGAGTGGATGCGTTACCATTCAAAGGACGCTTGACAGCCGGATGCAGGTGAGTACTTACTTATTATCGTTTTTTATGCTGTTTAGATTGCCGGCCGGAAGTGTTTTCCTCATCTTATCTACGCTCGTCTTTGGCGTTGGTCAGATGCTCACAAAACAGAGTTGCGTCATCTACCCTTCTGTCATTATGGTTTTGACAAAAAACTCGATTGGGTTTGCGTGAACCCCTATCACTACGAACGCATTGTTTCGTCAGCTTTGGATATCTCATCTTTAGCTTTAAGCCCACCGGTTGAAAGACGGAAAACTGGTCTACGAACGGAGGATACTGTCTTTGAAAGTAAACAACGTCGTCATAGTAGTGACATTCAGCATCAAGATACCGTCCATCCTGCTTCTATGCTTCGGCTCAGTGTTCAGTCACTTCTTGATGAAAGTCCACTGCGTACGTCCTTCATGTTTATTTGTTGGCTAATTTCAGATTTTCAGTTGAAGACCGTTAGTTGTTTACGCTACTTAATTACCAATTATTCACAATCTTGTGTGTGTGCGTGTTTCTGTTTATGCCGATTTGATGTCAGCCAGATTAACGCTATTTCTTGCATATTTTCTATGTAGCAATCTTTTTAGACATGTTTCTGGCAAATCTCTTATCAATCAGTTCATATTTTTATTTGGTAGTTCCCAATGCTACGTCTTTTTTGCGTTGGATGCTAATTGTTCTATGTTTAGATTTATCGTTCCTCATATTAGTGGTTTTCTCATTAAGTTGGTTTCGTTTTTTTCTTCGGTGTTGACCTCTTGGTTTGCATTAATTAGCTAATATGCACATTCGGCTGTCTTTACAGAGTGTCTGTGTTTGTAATGTTTCATATATATATATATATATATATTGTATTCTTCTGATTATGAACAAGGTTGGGAAGATACTCTTTTCTCTTTATTTTTCAGACGTAACTTTTGTTTGTTTGACATTAACTTTTACTGATATACATAGGTAGCAAGTGTTGGGTCTTGGTAAGTCCCAATTTGATGGTTTCTTAAGATATGTACAATGGGCTTCCAGGTGCTTTTCTTCTGCCCTCAAATTTTGTAAAGTTTGTTCATTGAATCATGTCAATCTCAATGCATAAAGATTTGGTGGAACTTCCCTTTTTTTGAAATCTACTAATCTTCGTTGGAATTATACCGTTTGGGCGAAATTTCGGTGTACATACCCGGTTCAAAGTCTAAGAACACTGAGGACATGGTGTTAACGCTTTGAAGAGCGAAATATGCAAGTTCCGCATATCTTTTTGTTAAGTTGTTAATAAAGTTGCTTTCCTTCGTCGATTGTTACACGTGTACAATATTAAAATTCCAAGGAAAATCGAATAAATTTGATAATCACCGTTTTTTCCTACTACCTTTGTCGATGTCTACCCTGAAGCTTCTTTGAGAGTACCCAATGTTTGTGTAAAAGCGACATTAAACTAATTTTGACGGTTATTAAATATATCAATGCCTTATGTGATCCACTTTCTACTATGCTGTTTTTCTGAATTTGGTCTTTAATCGCCCTTCTGGATTCTCCCGAAAGTCTACTTCGGTAGGAGTTGTTAAGACAACGAAGTCTGCGGGAGAGTTTATTGATTTTGTCACATCCTTTGATTGGGGGGGGGGGGGGGGAGGGGAGAAAGGGGGAGAGGGAATTTCCTTGTCAAGAAATTTCCAGATTTTTTTGCTTTGAGAAGTCTATTGAAACGCTTATATTTAAAGATGAGAACCTCTTCTCTTGGCTCTGTTTAGTCTACTAGTTTTAAAATCATTAATTGTTAACATTTTATTATATTCAAGAATGTGTAATTACCAATTTCTTATTGCCATAATGGTCGCCAACGCGCGCATGACTTCCGCAAATTTTTACAATAACAAATTACAGGTGTTTTATTTCCATCGATTTTCTGCATGTTGCGCACTTTAAATGGCGGGATATTGACAGTGTCATCTAACCCCTTTGTTCATTCATTCTAGGAAATTTGTTAGTACTTTCGCAGAGAGGGGGAGAGAGAGAGAGAGTTGCGGCATTAAGATTATTTCATCAGTGTAAATTTGATCTGATCTGAAAATTTGAACATTGTGTGCATGTGTGTGAGTGTGTGTGTGTGTGTGTGTGTGTGTGTGTGTGTGTGTGTGTGTGTGTGTGTGTGTGTGTGTGTGTGTGTGTGTGTGTGCTTCTTCTTTCTGGACGTGTGACCGCACACACGTTGATTCACAAATAGGTTCGCTTTTTTATGTTAGAGGTCTGGATTTTGACCTATCAAAGTTTTTTTGTACTACTTACACTTCGCACTAGTTGATGGTGAATTTCAGCGGATTCTAAATTGTATTTCTAGTCCAAGTCAGGCGGAGGTATTTTCCAGATTTAGAGAAATCTTGACAAGCTAACTCCCTTCTCCAAGGCTTTCTGTGTTTCGCTACAAACGAGATTGGAATGGGAGCTTCAGTTTCATCTGAAGACCAACTGCTTTATGAATGTTTGATCGCGCACACAAAAATTCGCAAATGGGTCAACTTTTTATTATGGCAGTGGTCCAAATGTTGACTTAGTAAAAAAAATTCGCACTTATTGGCCTTTCATTGCGTAACACCTGAATATCTTTTCTCCCCTCTTTTCAAATGCTCTTTCGAAGAGGCTTGCACTGAATCGAAAGCCAATGTTATGGATGACGCTTCAGCCACCCTTGTATTTTATAGAGTTTAAAGCGATCAGAGAAATGGGTCAATGCATCCGCTGTTTATGGTACTACGAATTTAAAGGGGGGTATGGTTTGTTGGGCAACCACTCGCCTTAGATTCAAAAAGGTAACAATGAAGACAGAATATTTTCTTTGCTTTGGAGGGGGTGGGGGGGGGGGGGGAAGGGGGCGGAAA